CGGGAGCAGGTGGGGACCGCGGAAGTGGGGCGCTGGCGGTGGAGAGGGCGCTTCGCTTCCCGCGGGCTCATTCCCGGCGCGCTGCGGGGAGTGGCCCGCAGGACAGAGGAGAGGGGTGGAGGTTGAAGAGCAGACGCTTAAATTTGCTTCATTAAATCCTGTGTCTGGCGGGATGGAGGAGGCCGGAAGCTGCTCCTCAGGATGGGTAGCCTCTCAGGCTTGGGGGGCGAGTGGGCCCCGCCCGTCGCAGGAATGGGGAGGAGGTGCCCGGGGAATTCGCGCCGGTGGGCCCCTGAACTGGTCCCAGAAGGGCGAGGCCGGGGCCCTCATTCCCGCGGCTTTGCAGCCCTGCGTTGCACATTTTTGTTTGTGCTGCGGTTCTCCATCTCGTGCATTGAAGGCAGGGACAGCGTCTTATTTTGACTTTAACAGACTCGTCCCGGGCCTGGTGTCCAGCAAATACCTTTTAAGTGAAGGACACTTTGATTCATTTACAAATACATACTCGACTCTTGTCAGATAGCTCGCACCTTGTTGGCCTTGGGGATACAGCAGTAAACAAAAAAATTCTTGCATTCGTAGAACTTACCTTGGGAATATTAGTTAATAAAATGAGTTAAAAAGAAAGTGTGCTAGAGGATGGGGAGTTGGAAGTTTACAGTTTTACTTGGGAGGGGCGGGTGGGGGTTTAACGGAAGGTGACATTGAGAAAGACCCTCGAGGAGAGGAGAGAGAATTCCAGACAGAAAACTCCGGCAAAGGTGGGCAAAGGTGTGAGCAGGACGGAGGAGGGAGGAGGGAGCGGCACGAGCCGAGGCCGGAGAGTTAGGGAGGTGGCAGGCTGGCTAGATGATGCAGAGCTTGACCTTTATAGGAACTCGACTTTTATTCTGAGTGAGATGGAAAGTCAGAGCCTTTTGAGCAGAGGATCGATCATGAGACTGAGGGAGGCAGGTCTTTGCAGGCTTGCTGCAGAGGCTGATGTTCTCCATGGGAACTGAAAGCGGCACAGGTGAATGGGAGAGTTTGAGGGTGATGTCTAAGAGACAAAGGGAGAATTTCCTGGTGGTTACAAAGGAGTGAGAGAAGGGAGGGAATTGATGGAAAATTCTCTGGAGATCATTAAAAAGGGAGATCATTCCTTTCCCATTCCTAATATGTGACAAGAAGACTGGACTACAAATTTTCTCCCATTTACAACTGTAGTTGTTTAGAAAGAAAAGCCAGGTGGAAGCTTTCAGAAGTAACTTTCTAACTTAATGTAGGTCAGGCTTTATAAAATGGAAGTGGAGGCCCAATAGCAAGGAACAGATCTAGAGTCTTTATGAATAATTTTGTTTGAGAAAGCAAAGTCAAGCAAATCAACAAAAGTCTCAGACTTAAATTTGAAGAAATTACATTTGAATTGCAAGAAATGTGGGTTTCTTCGAAAGTGACAATTCAGAGCTGTTTTTTCCCCTCTGAGGCCCAGATAAAGCCTGGATTCATTTTTGCCCCATCATTTGGTGCTTGTAGCTTCCTTGATGGAAATTCAGATTATTGTCTGTATGGTTCAGATTTGCAGTTAACTGTATCTGCTAGTCAGTAGGTTTTAACATTAGGTTATTATGTTTGGCATATTTGAAAAGATTAGGTACCTCTAATAATGTAATTTTTAAAATGTACCTCAAAAATTGGTTGGAGTTAAAAATTGTGGAAAGCAAGATTAGGGTTTTATCTTGGCAGTCTCCAATTCAAGTGGGGTTGATTGATTTAGTGGTTGCTTGTTTGAAATCTATTTCACTTTCCTAAAAGAAAAACATGTTCCACAAGGTAGTTTTGTGCCCAAGTGAGTCTACAAAAGTTGCTTAAAGCAACTGAAGTATGGTACTAGTAAGGATTGTGGAGCCCAGGGAGCAGGGTGCTAAGTGATCTGGACAGGGAGGAGAAGGAGGGAGTGTCTTTCTTTACTACAGAGCCCACCCTAGGCCAAGTTTTGAAATACCTGAAGGCACACTTTTTTTTTTTTACATAATTTCTTTTTTTTAATATGAGAGGAAAGGAGAGGGAGAGAGAGAGATAGAAACATCAATGATGAGAGAGTCATTGATTGAGCTCGCAACCCGGGCATGTGCCCTGACCAGGACTCGAACCCCGATCGCCTGGATCCCAGGTCGATGCTCAACTGCTGAGCCACGCCCGGCTGGGCTGAAGGCACGCTTTTTATCCTACTTCCTGCTTCCTTCCCTCACTTCTCAGTGACCCATTTTTTGTAATCTCTACCTATGGAAATGCTTCCCTAAGCCCTCCACATACCACTTCTACTCTAGGGATTTGGAATGGCATATAGCTTCTAACATAGAGATGGTACCAATCCAGCTTCTGGGATTTAATTTTTAAAAATAAATTTTAGAGTATATTTGGGGCCATTAAATTATATGAATTTTTAATTCTATATTTTGACAGTGTTGGAAAGGAAATTGCTCTACATATCTGAAGAAAGTGCAAGATCCTCAGCTCTGTTTATATACTTGTTAGCAACTGTCACACTTTGTAAGTATTTTATTAACAATTATTTTTTATTTTAATTTATTATTCTGTCTGAACCCCCTCTACATAAGCCAGGGAGGATAGGAGTCATTATATATTGGTCAATGCCTATCTTCAAGTGCCTGGCACTTCTTAGATACTCAACTAATGGTAATTGAATGAACGGCATGCTTTTCTGTCTATGAAATGTATTCCTTCTGATTAGCCATGAACTGGAAACCAGTAGTTTATTAGAACTGAATGTGAAGCTATGGGCTAGATTACTGTGGATGAACTCTGGTACAAGGACCGTGTAATCCATTTGTGGAGACTTCCCAGGCTTGGAAACAGACCGCCTGAAATGTTGAGGGAGGATGGGGAACCGGATGAGCCAGTCAGCCTCATCTACCCTTGCAGTCAGTAGAGAGGCTGTGTCATTGCACAGCTTGCCCTCGCTGTCTTGGGATACCACCTTGGACCATGCAGAGGCTTCGCTTGCTGGGTCTCCGTGTGAAAGCTGAGGGAGGTAAGAGCTGAGGGGAATGGGTAAGAATGCAGCAAACCTTTTCCCATCTCTCTCCCCCCTTTCTCTTTTATGTCTTTTCCTTTCCTGATGGCTTAACTGTAGTGAGAGGAATGGTAGCTGGAGTCTTACCTACTCCTTAGGACCCCTTTGCCGTTCTCCTCGGGTGTGCACATTCAGAGGGATTGCAGCAAGTTGGGTATGAGAGAAGAGTGTGAGTGTGTGTGTGTGTGTGTGTGTGTGTCACACACATGTGTGATCTCCGTTCCCCTCTCCTGTTTCTGCCCAGAAACAGGTGGGGTGGTGGTTTGGGCTGAGGTGTGATGTGGAGACCAGGGAAGCAGGGGTTCTATTGAGGATGAGTTTTATACTGGCTGGGAGTAAGGCAGAGAAGAAGACTTTCTTTAGAATTACTTGAATGTAAGTTGGTCATACACTGGTCAGGTGCTGCCTGTTTTCTGTTTAGAAATTTCTATGACTATGGGCAGGAATGATGAAGCGCCTTATGATACTTGAGTCCAGTACTGCAGTTCTTGTTCAGCTTCATTAGAAAGTATAAATTCTCTACTGAATCTACACTGTCTCCTCCTTTGTCTGTTTCCTTAGCACCTAGTTACACATGACAAGCACTTGGCAGATGCTTTGGAATTAGGTTGTTAGAGGTGATTTTCCTTGTCCTATCAACAAGAAAATTAGAAAGATTAAAATTGGATGACAAATGCTTTGGCTGATAATTTCCGTGGAGAACAAATGCCATTAAAAAAACACACCCTTTAGCCCTAATGGTTTGGCTCAGCGGTTAGAACGTTGACCCTCAGACTGAAGGGTCCCAGGTTTGATTCCGGCCAAGGGCATGTACCTCAGTTGCAGGCTGGATCCCCTTGGGGCTTGTGCAGGAGGCAACCAATCAATACCTCTCTCAGATCAATGTTTCTCTCTCTCTCTCCCTCCCTTCCACTCTCTCTGACGGGCAATGGAAAAAATATCCTCTGGTGAGGATTAAAAAACCCAAAAACCCTTTATTTTTATTTTGAGATAATACCATAAAAAACCCTAATTTTTATTTTGAGATAATTGTAGATTTGCGTGCAGTTAAAGAACAGGGATCCCTGTATTCTTTACCCATTTTCTCCCAATGGTAACATCTTGCAAAACTCTATAATACTTACCACCATCAGTATGTTGACATGGGTATATTTAAGGTACAGAACATTTACATCATCAAGGATCCCTCATATTACCCCGTGATTGCTACACCACTTCCCTCTTGCCTTTACCCCCTCTTAGCTCTTGGTAACCAAGAGTTTGTTCTCTGTTCTATAATTTTGTCATTTCAAGAATGTTATCTAAGTGAAATCATGTCGTTTGTAACCTTTGACATTGGCTTTTTCACTCAGCATAATTCTCTGGTGATTCATCCAGGTTGTTGTGTGTACCAATAATTTGTTCCTTTTTATCACTGAATGGTATTTTTTAAATTTATTTTTATTGAATTTATTGAGGTGACATTGCTTAATGAAATTATATAGGTTTCAGGTATACAGTTCTACAAAACATCATCTATATGCTGTGTTGTATGTTCACCACCCCAAGTCAAGTCTCCTTCCATCACCATTTATCTCCTCTTTACCCTCTTCTACCTCCCCCACCCCCCTTTCCTCTGACAGTCACTGTACTGTTGTCTGTGTCCACGAGTCTTCTTTTTTCTTAATCCCTTCACCCTTCTTACACAGCCCCAACCCCCTCCCCTCTGAGAGCTCTTGGTCTATTCTTTGTAGCCATGGGTCTTTCTCCACTTTGTTAGTTTATTTTGTTCATTAGATTCTACATGTGCATGAAATCATATGGTACTTTTTTTCACTGACTGGCTTATTTCACTTAGCATAATACTCTCCATGTACTTTCATGCTGTCACAAAGGGTAAGATTTCCTTCTTTTTTATGGCTGAGTAGTATTCCATGGTGTAAATGTAGCACAGCTTTTTTACCCACTTATCTACTGATGGGCACTTGGGCTGCTTCCAAATCTTGGCTATTGTAAATAACACTGCAGTGAACATATATTCTCTCAAATTAATGTCTTGGGTTTCTTTGGATATATTCCCAGAAGTGGAGTGCTGGGTCCTATGGCAGTTCCATTTTTAATTTTTTGAGGTAACTATACTGCTTTCCACAGTGGCTGCACCAATCTGCATTCCCATCAACAGTACATGAGAATTTGTTTTTCTCCATATCCTTGCCAGCACTTGTTTGTTGATTTATTGATGATAGCCATTCTGACAGGTATGAGGTGATATCTCATTGTGCTTTTAATTCCGTTTCTCTAATGATTAATGACGTTGAGCATCTTTTTATGTCTATTGGCCATCTGCATGTCCTTTTTGGGGAAGTGTCTATTCAGGTCCTTTACCCATTTTTAATTCGATTGTTTGTTTTTTTGGTGTTGAGTTTTATAAGTTGTTTATAAATTTTGGATATTAATCCCTTATCAGATTTATCTGTGAATATGCTTTCCCATTTGGTTGGTTGTCTTTTCATTTTGTTGATGGTATCCTTTGCTGTGCAAAAACTTTTCAGTTTGAAATAGTCACATTTGTTTATTTTTTCTTTTATTTTCCTTGCCCAAGGCTATGTATCAGAAAAAATATTGCTGTGGGAAATGTCTGAAGTTTTCCTGCCAATGTTTTCTTCTAGGATTTTAACTGTAACTTTTAAGTCTTTAATCCATTTTGAGTTTATTTTTGTGTATGGTGTAAGAAGGTAGTCTAGTTTCTTTTTTTGCACGTATTTGTTTAATTTTCCCACCACCATTTATTGACTAGATTATGTTTACTCCATTGTATGTTCTTGCCTCCTATGCCAAATATTAATTGACCATAAAGGTGTGGGTTTATTTCTAGGCTCTCTATTCTGTTCCATTGATCTATATTTTTGTTCTTATGCTAGTCCCATGCTGTTTTGATTACTATAGCCTGTAGTATATTTTGATATCAGGTAGTGTGATTCTTCCAACTTTGTTCTTCTTTCTCAAGATTGCTATGGCTATTCAGGGTCTTTTGTGGTTCCATATAAATTTTTGGAGTATTTTTTTCTGGTTCTGTGAAATATCCCATTAGTATCTTGATAGGAATTGTGTTGAATTTATAGATTGCTTTGGGTAGTATGGACATTTAATGATATTAATTCTGCCTATCCATGAACACGGTATATGCTTCCAGTTATTTGTATTTTCTTCAGTTTCATTCTTCAGTGTCTTAATTTTTCTGAGAACAGGTGTTTTTTTTTGTTACAGGAGGGAAGGAGGAAGGGAAGGAGAGAGAGAGAAAAAGTGAAAGAGAGAGAGAAACATTGGGTTGAACCCTGCAACCCAGGTATGTGCCCTTGATTGGGAATTGAACTTGAGACCCTTCAGTGCGTAGGTGGACCCTCTAACCACTGGGCCACATTGGCCAGGGCCCGAGAACAGGTCTTTTACATCCTTGGTTAAATTTATTTCAATGTATTTTATTTTATTTTTGATGCAACTGTAAATGGGATTGTTTTATTAGTTTCTCTGATAGTTCATTATTGGTGTATAAAGATGCAACTGATTTCTGGATATTTATTTTGTATCCTGCTACTTTACTGAATTCATTTATCAGTTCTAATAGATTTTTGGTGAAGTCTTTAGGGTTCTCTATATACAGTGTCATGTCATCTGCAAATAATGCCAGTTTTACTTCCTCCTTTCCAATTTGAAATCCTTTTATTTCTTCTTCTTGTGTGATTGCTGTGGCTAGGACTTCCAGGACTATGTTGAGTAAGAGTGGTGAAAGTGGACATTCCGGTCTTGTTCCCAATCTTAAGGGAAACACTTTTAGTTTTTGCCCATTGAGTATAATGTTGGCTGTGGGTTTGTCATATATGGTCCTTATTACACTGAGGTATGTTTCCTCTATTTTCACTTTGCTGCAGTTTGGAGTATCTGGGCTCAGGGAAGCCTAAGTTCTCCCAAAGGGCTTCTAACTGATGACATCAGGCCCATCCAGGAAAAACTCCCTTTTGAGTAATTTAAGGTCAGCTGATTATGGACTTTAATTATATCAGCAGAGTGTTTGCTACAGCCAGCCTGGCCACACTGACAGTCACAGAGCCACACTACCTCCAATACCCAGTGTCTAACAACGTGCCAGGCTGACTTTTTGGTGATGGGTCTCTGAAGGGTCAGCTAGCTGTTCCTTGATGGCTAAAAGGGTTGGGCATTGTGAATCCAGCCACACCATCCCAAGAAATTTTACTTAGCAAGTAGACCCCTGGATTCTGCTGGTGGAAGTATGATACCACCAGCACAGTCAGGGACCATTGAGATGGAGGTTTCTGACTTGCCAATGAACAGGACATCTTTTATATATTGAAAACTGTGGACTTCATGGGGTAGGGACAATTCCCTGAAATCCTGACTCACCCACTCTTCCCGATGGGGGAGAATCACCTCTAGCACTATGGACACATCTTTTATACAT